GGAGCTTGCGGAAAGGAGGTGCTGGTTCTCCAGCCCTTGGACAGCTGGCACCACCCATGGTGTCCATCCAGGGTGGCAGGGGTCTCTTTGTCACAGCAGAGAAAGTGCTGGAGGCACTAGGTTACAGCGCTGTCATCAAGGAATTGAGTAATAGCGGCACGTGACACTGCTCTTTGAATGTCCTCCGGTCAGTGAGCTCTGTAAGCAGAAGTCCAGGTGAGGTCGGTGGAAACAGTAGAGCCACCACGTGAGCGGTCCGAGCTGGAAGTAACCCCCTGCGGCGCTTTCCTCCTGCGCTTGCTGGGCCCCCCCCGCCGCCCACTGCAGGAGGCTCCCCTGCGGGTGGCTAGTTCAAGCAGCTGCCGGGGGTCTGATGTGCACCGCGGGTTAAGAGCCATTACAGTACCGAGTTTATTGCCAAGTGTTCCACTTAGCGGCATCTCGAATCCTCCGTGGTCCTGTGAGAAGACCGTGGGCAGTGGGGATGACACAGATCCCAGCGCATCACAGGAGTGGGAGGATAATTTGGATGTCACTGTCCCGGTCGGGGGGGCTCAGCCACTGTGGGAGGGAGATGATGTTCGTGGGCAAGGACCCAGCTCTTTGAGGTAGGTGAATGCTTGCTTGGAGTATAATGTTGAAGAGACAGTTGGGCAGGGGAAGATTTTTTCTTCTTTGGATTCTAGAACGTTTGTTGGAAAGGAAGAACTGTTAGGCATACTCAAACCAGATTGTTTTTTTCAGCAAACATCTGGTAGAGATTGCAATTGGGGAGTGAATAAGGGAAGGGACCGATCTCCTGCTACACAGAATTCTCATTCCATGTGTAGTGGTTATCTCTGAGAGGGGGGTTTGGCCTGTTTCTCAGCTTTAGGGTGGTGCTGAGAGAGATGAAGTAACATATTTGACATCACCTGGCTGGTAAGGGCTGGAGACGGGTGCTTTTCTGACCCAGTAGGTTTGTGTGATTGCACAGCTAAGTGTGATCTATCTCGTGTTGTCTCACTGCCTTCCAGTGGCTGCGGCTCTCATGATCCAAACAGTCAGAACTCTTGTCAGGCAGGAGTGCTTTTGTTGTAAAAACAAAAAAAAAATAAGAGTAGCCCAAGTTGGTCCTGGATGCTGGAAGTAGCTTAGCAGCATCACTCTGGTCCTCTCATTTGAGGAGGAAAACTTGTAGGCCCTCAGTCTGAGGGGTTACGTTGGCGTGAAGTGGGTGCTGCCAGAGCGGCCCCTTTATAACCAAGAGTTGGAAGGGTGAGAACTTTATGGTTTTTAATATTGTATGTCTTACAGAGACACTTACATGTAAATGTGTTTCAGGAGACCGTGTATGAAATGTTGCTGTAGAGGTGTAAAACTTCAGCTGAGGCTTGGGCTGCAGTGTCGACTTGCTGTCAGCTGCTGCTCAGAAGGTGGGAGGCCTGCTACGCGGTTCAGAACCGCGGGAATCCCCACATCCTCTGTGGTGATGTTCTGATTTAAGGTTGGCTGTAAGCTGCTTGAATTTTTTCACACCACGAGGCCCATGGCTGTTAGAATTAGCTCTGCTTTCTTTTCTCACCTAGAAAACGTCGGGTCTTAGAGCTGAAGTCTGACTGTGGTTGCCCTGCCTGACTCATTTGGAAATGGCCTTGTGTGCTCTGGCCTAGGCGGCGTGGTGGACGTGTGATTCTGCTAGGTGTGAAGGTTTGTATGGACGCTCTGCAGATGGGGTGAGCCTTGGCCAGGTGCTGCTTTCACGTGGCTGTCTTTCTAGAAGGAAACCTACTTCTCTTTCTCTTCCCTTTTATGCCTCTGGAAGGAAGCCATGGCCTCCGTTTCCAGGGTCAACACTTCTGCCTGGACTCTGGGCCCCGATTCCTCGTCTTCTGAGGTCCTTCTTCCATCAGTGGTCGCATCACCCCGTCTTCCATAATGGATTTGTAAACCGTGTTCCTTGAGCACACCATAGTGAGCCTTGTGGACCCTTTATTTAAATGCAGTTTCTTTGATTCCGTGACACTAGGCTCTCTGACTCTTGCGTTCTCCGTGGTTGTGCTTTTGAACCTCTCCTGCCTGTAGATACCCTCAATGAGCTCTCCACCTTCTGTGACAGCTGTCTTCTCTCTGTGAGCAGCTCCTTTATTCACTCATTATCCAACACTTATTAATTTGGTGCCTACTGTCTGTCGGGAACTGTTGTAGACTAGACAAAGTCTACCCCTCAGGGAACGTTCATTCCAGTACAGTAAAGCCAGGGAAGGGGAGAGAGTGATGGGGGTGGAGGTGAGCAGCTCTTCTGGGTGGGCTGATTAGGGGCGCCTTTCTGAGCAGGGGACATGCAGGGAGAGGCTGAATGGTCAGGAGGAGTGAATCCAGTGAAGGTCTGGGAGGGGTTCCAGACCTTACCCCCAGCCCTGCCCTCTCTGATACTGCAGACCAGAATCTCCATGGAACTCGCAAGGCTTTCCAGCCAAATGTTCTCCTGTCTCTTAAACTCTGTCTCCTCTCCCACTGCCCACGTCTCTCCAGGAACAGCCCATGACCTGGCTCTCCATACCTGCCAGCACCCCTCAGGTCCTCCCGTCTGATCCTCATGCCTGACTCACTGTCGGCCCAGCTGACTTTCTCTTCCAATGTCTGGTTTGTGTCGGCTTCTGCCATTCCCTCTGTAACCACTCCAGCTCCAGCTCCTGCCTCAGGGACGAGGACAGGTGCAGCGGCAGCCATGTCAGCTGAGAGGTTGATTGCAAAACTTCAGGTGGGTGGCAGAGTGAGTGGGCAGGCTAGAGAAGCGGGCTCTGAGCACAGCCGCCAGCAGGGAGGCTGCTCAGAGGGCACATTGAGGGACAGGCCATGAGCAAGTTGTTGAGGATGCTGTACCCCGGACACACTCCCCCAGGGGACTCCCTGCCCCCACTGTGTGTGTTCATACTGTCTGCACTTGGCCTCCCTCCTCTGGGTTCAGCGTCCCAGGCAGGCACCTCTGACTGGCCAGGCTGTGGTTATGCCCGTGCCTGCCTAGTAGGTGATGAGGACAGAGGATGTCTGACCTTCTTTGGCTCCGTAATGGGCGCCAGGGTCCCCGAAAGAGAAGAGGGTTTTGGATCCTGACCAAAGTCCACTATTCAAACATTCAGAAATTTAAATGGTTCCTCATTGTTTTGAGCAAGGCTGTCCAAGAGAACTACCTTTGATGATGGAAATGCTCCGTCATCTGTGCTGCCCTTTTAAAATGGTGGCCGTGAGCCACATGTGGCCTGTGAGCACCTGAGACATGGCTGGTGAGACTGAGGAACGGGGCTTTGCATTTCAATTAAGTTACATCTGAGTTGCCACATATGGCTCATGGCTACTGTATTGGACAACGTGGGTCTGCAGAATACACGTTCCCTCTTTAGCCTAGCTTCCAGACCCTCCTGTGTGACACGTGGCAGGTAAGCTGGGCTGTCGCTGTCCCTCATCTGTGCCTTGCTCTTGTATTTTTTTTTTTTTTTAAAGATTTTATTTATTTATTTATTTTCCCCCCAAAGCCCCAGTAGATAGTTGTATGTCATGGTTGCACATCCTTCTAGTTGCTGTATGTGGGACGCAGCCTCAGCATGGCCGGAGAAGCGGTGCGTTGGTGCGCTCCCGGGATCCGAACCCAGGCCACCAGCAGCGGAGCGTGCACACTTAACCGCTAAGCCACCGGGCCGGCCCTTTGCTCTTGTATTCTTGTTTCCAGACCTCCTCTGCCTGTGAGAGCCCAGTGGACACACCCCCACCTTTAAAAGCCTTCCCTGATTTTCCCAACCGTAGGACACTTGTGTCTGTGTCCACATATGCTGCTCTCCCTCCCTTATGCTGGATAAGCTGCCCCACTTGCTGCCCAAGCCCAGCTCTGTGCTTGTGTGCTGGGTCTCCTCCCCCACTGCCTCCTCCAGGACTCTGCTGCTCTCCTGATTCGCACTTTGCTCACATGGTCTCTGGGGTGACGCTGAAGTTGGCCACACTGCCTGTGGTTCTCTGTCACCTTGGCCAGCTCCTCCTCCCCTCCACATCTGACCTCTAGGGGCGCAGGCTCCCATCCTGCCCAGCCCTGACTGCCCTGCTCAGCTCCACCCCCATCTCCTGCTGCCTGTGGTCACCATCTCTACTTGGAGGCTTCATATGCATTGACTCTTGGCCTCCTCCTCACTTGCTCCTCCTCCCGTCTTCCACAGTCCTTCTTACTGGTCCAGACAGCCTTGCTCGCTCCTTCATGCTCCACAGCCCACCCATGAGCAGAGTCTGCTGGCTCTGCCTTGGGAATACAGTCACAATCTGACTGTTCATCACCGCCTTCCACTGCCCACCCTAGCCCAGACCACCCTCTTCTCACGTGAAACAATGGGGATACCTCAGCTGGTTTCCCTGCTTCTACCCTGGCTCATAAAGTCTGTTTTCTGCACAGCTCCAGACTGATCCTTTTAAAGTAAGATTCAAATTTATCATGTTTCTCATCAGAACCCACCAAAGGCTCTCCAATCTCTAAAGAAATTGCGGGGTCTTACCGTGGCCTGGAAGGGTCCCTAAAATGCACTTCTTCCTAGTCTTCTGCGTTTGTCCCCCAACTCTACAGACGCTCAGACCCCCAGTTGTGTTCCCTCCTCAGCCCTCCATGGCTCCCTCCATTCTTCAGCTGTCACTCGGGGAGCCCTTCGGTCCAGAACTGCATCCCACCTCCTACGGAGATTCTCTGCCCTGGGCCTGCTGGACTTCCCTTCCTAACACTGTCACTACGTGCGAGAAAGCAGTTTCTTGTGGTCCCTTCCCTCCTGGAAGGTCAGCTCCATGAGGGCATCGTCTCGCCTGTAGCATCGCCCAGCACATGAGGAGGGCTCAACCTCTCCTCTGGTGGCTTTTGCTATATTGTCACTTGTGAGTGTTCCCTTCTGTCTGACTCGCAGTGCTATCACAGTTCTAAGCTGAAGGGTTTTCTGCGTGATCTTGAATTACGTTTTTCCTTTTCTGTTGTAACTCCCTGTGGGCAGGGACCATGTCTGTCTGTCTTGTTTGCCCTGCACTGGATGCAGTGCTGGCACAGAGTAGGTGCTCAACCAGTGCTGTCTGGCTAGGTCACCTGCCTCTGCTAGACAGGAAGCACGTTGACAGTGCTGTTCTGCCCAGTTCCTGTTCTCCAGAGTTGCTGGCAAGTTCCGTGGTGTGAACACGTGCCAACCAGCTGATGGTGTTTCCCCTCCTCCCCCCATGCAGGCCCTGTGCCATCTCCAAAGCACCATGAATGCCATCGTCGCTCTCTGTCACTTCTGCGAGCTCCACGGCCCCCGCACTCTCTTTTGCACAGAGGTTCTGCACGCCCCACTTCCACAGGGCGCGGGGAATGGGGACAGCCCTGGCCAAGGCGAACAGGCCGAGGAGGAGGAAGGCGGCATTCAGATGAGCAGTCGGATCCGTGCTCACAGCCCAGCAGAAGGGACCAGCGCAGAGTCCAGCAGCCCAGGACCCAAAAAGTCAGACATGTGTGAGGCAAGTGTCTCTGGTGGTGTTGGGGGTGTTTTTTTCTCTACAGGGGCTCATGCCTGTGCTGTGTGTGTGACCTCCTGGGGGGTGGATGGGAGGCCCTGTGGTGCAGTGAAGGTGACCTCACAGAAGGTGTGGTCTTAAGGTGGTGTGTGCAGACCATTCTCCGTGGGCCCTGTGGAATGTGTTTGCTCCTTTTCATGTCCCTTTAGTTCTTTCCCTTCATCCCAGCTTTAGCTTTTTCAACCACTGTTTGCCAGCAGTTGCCACCACCGTCATGTTTGCCTTTCAGCCGTCCCCTCTGCATACTCATGTTCACACACTGGCCCATCCTGGGCTCTGGTTCCCTCAGTCCGGTGTTCTCGGGGTGTTTCCTTCTCACAGGGTCCTGCGTGTTCCTCTTTGTGCTGCTCCGTGAGCTCTGGGGAAGGGAGTTTAAGTTCCCTCACCAGGCCACTTCTTCAGAAGGACCTGGGATAGGACCCAAAACCAGAGGTGGAGTTGGACCTGCCACTACAGTGTGAGCAGGAATCCAGCTGCCTTAGTGTGGTTCCTCTGAGAAGCAGACAGTGTGCATGAGGTTGGTTTATTGCTGGAAACACCTGTGAGGAATCAAGGGGCGGGAGCAGAAGGTGGGAGAGCCTTCTGGCTGTGAACAAGTCTTTACACCTGTGACGAAGAGGAAGGAAGGAAGGATGGCTGGGCTGGCAGCCTCCTGGAGGAGAGTCCTTGAGCTGGAAGGAGTCCTACATCTTGCAGGGAGGCGCTTGCCTCAGTGCTCTCTTGTGCACAGTCCCAGGTGGAGGCAGCCTCCAGGATGCACAAAGTGGCAGTGGCTCCAGAGGGGCAGCAGCGGCGACTGCCAGTCCAGTCTCCGCAACAGGAGTCTGAGCTTGTGGTCTCAGGCTGCCACGCCAACCCTGAAGTCTGTGGCATCCTCCTGAGCCCTGCTGAGTGGTCATGTCAGCACCAAGGACAGAGGCCAGCGCAGCGCACTGTGGGAGCCCCTTCACAGCTCCGAGCCTTTGTGCCTTCTGTAAGATGGGGCTTCTCGCTAAGTATCTCATAGGGTTGCACTTTGGATTAAATAAGATGATGTATGCGGAGTTCTTCACAATACCTGTTACGTAAGTGCTCACCAGATTCCTTCTGTTACTCACACGCTCTGACAGACCTTGTGATCCTGGTTTTCACATTCAGGAAACATTGAAATCCTCAGATAAGTATAGCTCTAGTAGCCAGTTGTGTTTTTTTTTTTTTATAGAAAACAGATTGAGTTTTCTACTTCTTTTTTTTTTTAAGATTTTATTTATTTATTTTATTTCCCCCCAAAGCCCCAGCCAGTACATAGTCGCACATCCTTCTAGTTGCTGTTTGTGGGACGAGGCCTCAGCGTGGCCGGAGAAGCGGTGCGCCGGTGCGCACCCAGGATCTGAACCCGGGCTGCCAGCAGCAGAGCGTGCGCACCTAACCGCTAAGCCACGGGGCCGGCCCGAGTTTTCTACTTCTGATTTGCATAAGAGTAGGAAAATGTGTTGCCTCTTCCCAAATAACTGGTTTTCTTTTCCTTCTTGTGGGCAGGGCTGCCGGTCCCTTGCTGCAGGGCATCCTGGGTATATCAGCCATGATAAAGAGACCTCCATTAAGTATGTCAGTCACCAGCACCCCAACCACCCCCAGCTCTTCAGCATTGTCCGCCAGGCCTGTGTGCGGAGCCTGAGCTGTGAGGTGAGCACCTGGGACTCCAGGGAGCGGGCAGGGGCCTGTCTCTGCGGGAGTCTCCCCCACACTCCAGGATGCACTGAGCAAGTTCAGTGTTGGTTATGGAAAGGGAAACGGAAGTCAGTCCTGTCGTGAAGAGGACGGGCAGATCAGTGAGCGGGGCACACCGGGCAGCCTCAGTTCTCCAGAATTCCAGAATAGGTTGCATGGGCTCTAGTCTTCCAAATGGTTGCTAGCTTATCATTTTAAACACCAAACTTTTGTTATCTGTGCGTTCTTCATGGATATATTTCTCTCCCTTTTTTTTTTTTTGTGAGGAAGGTCAGCCCTGAGCTAACATCCATGCCAGTCCTCTTTTTGTTTTTTTTCTGAGGAAGACCGGCCCTGAGCTAACATCTATTGCCAATTCTCCTCCTTTTTTTTTTTCCCTTTTTCTCCCCAGTAGATAGTTGTATGTCATGGTTGCACATCCTTCTAGTTGCCGTATGTGGGACGCCGCCTCAGCATGGCCGGATAAGCAGTGTGTCGGTGCCTGGGATCTGAACCCAGGCCGCCAGTAGCGGAGCGCGCACACTTAACCGCTAAGCCACGCGGCCAGCCCCTGACGTATTTCTAAGATATGAAATATTCCTGGGATGTGTAGGTCACCACATCAAACGTCACCTTTCTTGTTGTCTCAGTCATCTTTACAAGCCTCTGTGATGCATCGTGTGCTCTCAGAGCCTTTGAAGAGTGGATCGATTTGTTTCTGAACTATGTGGCTGCTGTTGTTGAGTTCAAGTCTTAGCTTTTATGTTTTTATCTGTCACAAAGAATTCATAATCCAGTTACTGAAACTTCCTGTCGCTGTACCCACTTGATCAGACACGCTGAGCTCCCCACTGTTAGTTCTCTCTTACTGTTGCTCTATGCCTACCTTCAGCCATTTCCCTCCTTTTTGTTCTTTTGTGAGGAAGATTCACTCTGAGCTAAGATCTGTGCTAGTCTTCCTCTGTTTTGTATGTGGGTCGCTGCCACAGCATGGCTTGACAAGGGGCACAGGTTCACACCCGAGATCTGAACCTGTGATCCCGGGCTGCCAAAGCAGAGTGTGCCGGACTTAACCACTACGCCACCGGGCCAGCCCTGGTTTCCCTCCTTTTGATTTCCTACTGCTAATCTGCTAGCAGACAGATGATCATGTCTGATAGAATTATGTGTAAAGAAACAGTGAATATTGTTGTTAGGGAGACCTGAGTTCTCTCCTACAAATGAAGTACGTAGATTTTATTATATGGACTCTGCAGTGGCAATTTCGACCTGCCAGTGCTCCAGTATATTCCAGTTGAGTGACATTGGCAGATTTGAGTCTGAGATAGATATATTTGTACAGGTGTTCTTTATAGCACAAGGTAGAAAAAAGTAATGAACCTACTTTACTGGCCTTTACATTTATGATAACAAATGTTATCTTTAGGAAGTTTGATCCCAGGAGCAGGTGAAAGCAAAGTTTTCCTCTCTCGTCCCCACCCCTCCCACTGTCCCTATAATTAACGCTGGCTAATTAGTGCAGAAAGAAGGCTGAGAAGGCGGGTTTGACTTGATAGCACTGTGTGCTGGAGTAGCTGTTGTCTTGTCTCAGGTCTGCCCTGGCCGCGAAGGCCCCATCTTCTTTGGGGATGAGCAGCACGGATTTGTGTTCAGCCACACCTTCTTCATCAAAGACAGCTTGGCCAGGGGCTTCCAGCGCTGGTACAGCATCATCGCCATCATGATGGACCGCATTTACCTTATCAACTCCTGGCCCTTCCTGCTTGGGAAGATCCGAGGAATCATCGATGAACTCCAGGGCAAGGCACTCAAGGTGAGGCCTGATAAAGGGGGAGTGGTGGCCATGGGGGAGGAGCTTTACACTGAGGGAGGGTGAGAGCACTGGCGGTTTTGTTACCTCTTCCTGCAGTCCTGCAGCAGCCGCTCTGTCTGAATTGTAGTCTGCTGGCTTCAGAGTCAGGTCGTGGTGATAAGCCTCGCAGCCATTAGTTCTGATTGCTTTACTGATATCTCTCAAGTCCATTCTTGTCCTGGTTCTCGTTCTGCTCTGGCTTCTTCAGTCAGAGTCCCTGGTTTTATCCCTGTGTTTTTGCTTCCTCTGACTTCTGTTTCAGAAACCTGTCCCTTAATCATGTTGCAGACCCACCGCCTAACAGACTTCCAGCTGTGGCGTTACATCTCTCAGGCTTTGCCAGGTTATCCCTTGTAACAAACAGTCCTCAAACCTCAGTGGCTTAAAACCACAGAGTTTATTTCTTGTTCACGTTGTGTGTCCATTGCAGGGAAGAAGGGCATCTGTTCCTTGTCATCCTGGCAGGTGGAGCAGTATTGGAATGTTGCTCGTTTGCCTGCTAGAGGGCGTGGAGGGTACTGGAGGGCCTTGTTTCTCTCACCACACTGCCACAATGGGTCACGTGTCCCACCTACGCAGGGTCCAGGTAGTGAAAGCCTCTGGGTGTCTGGCAGGGGCAGCACTGGAAGCACTTGGAGAACAACACTAATGACCACCTCGAGCACACGTGCCACTACAGTCCCCATCAAGTGCCTAATGAGTTGGTTTTAGGAGGGGGTACAGAGAAATTCTTAACCGATTCCTCTTCTCAGGTAGCTTCTAATCCAGCTGGGGAAGCAAAACCATTGTTTGGAATTATGAGACTGGTGGCACTTTCTATACACCACATCAGGAGAGCAGAATGGGACAGAGTTCAGGAGTAGAATTTGTGAAGTTGGCTGCGGACGAGCTGGGTCTAGGCTGTTCGGCTGGTTTTGTTTTGTTAAAGGGCTACTACCCCTTCCCTTTGCTTTTTAGGTATTTGAAGCGGAACAGTTTGGATGCCCACAGCGTGCCCAGAGGATGAACACAGCTTTTACACCATTCCTGCACCAAAGGAATGGCAACGCTGCCCGTTCCCTGACATCCTTGACGAGCGACGACAACCTGTGGGCGTGCCTGCACACCTCCTTTGCTTGGTAACGAGATTCTCAGGTCTCTTAGCAGCTCTAGGATGAGAGCAGTCCCAGTGTGTTTGTGGGTCTGCGCACTACGTTGGGGAGAAGTCTGCTGGGTGCCTCTGTGGGGTATACCGGCAGTGAGCACTGACCTTGCCACAGTCTGCCTTTCCCTCTGATGTCTCCCCCGAGTGTGAGCAAGATGTGTTTAGGTGGAACTCACTGCCCGGTGATATTTTTAAAATGTTGTCCTATATCAAGACCAGTGATCACCTCCCTGTTTTGTAAACAACAGTAAACATGGCTCTCACATGGCATCTTTGGGTCAGGAATTGGAGAGTGGCTTGGCTGGGTGCCTGACTCAGGTTCTCAGTTTTGTCAGCCGGGCTGCAGTCATCTGAAGGTTTGGCTCCTGCACAGGGCTGGCAAGTTGGTGCTGGCTATGGGCAGGAGGCCTCAGCTCCTCACCATGTGGACATGCGAGCTGACTTCCCTCAGAGTGAGTGATCCAGGAGAGAAGGAGGTGGGATCTGCACAGTCTCGTGACCCGGCCTCGGCAGTCACAGCCAGTCACTCTAGCACATGCTGTTTGTTAGACATGTGTCGTGTCACTAAGCCCAGCGAGTCAGGAGGAGAGGATTAGTCTCCATCTTTTGAGGGGAGAAGTGTCAACGAATTTGTGGACATACTTGAAAACCACCACCAGTCTGTCCTCTGGCCACAGATTGTTTTCTGTTCCTCCCATTGCGAGATATACTCCTTCCAAAGACTCGCCCCACTTCTCATTTCTGTGTAGCGTCAGCGTGAAGTCTGGGATGTCGGCGTCTAGATGAGGGCCTGCTGTGGAGGAGACTTCTCAAGTACAGATCCTTGAGTGCCTCTCCTGAGGACTTGCAAGCTAAAGAGAAAGTGTCGGTCTCCCCCACCTGACATAGAATTCATCCTGTCTTAAAAATCATTTCTATTAGGGAGATTTTCAGACAGAGCCAAAGTAGAATAAATAGTACAGTGAACTACACACCCCATCATCCAACTTATGCAGTTATCAACCTTTTTTTTTTCTTTTGTGAGGAAGATCAGCCCTGAGCTAACATCCATGCCAATCCTCTTCTTTTTTGCTGAGGAATACTGGCCCTCTGCTAATATCTGTGCCCATCTTCCTCCACTTTATGTGGGACGCCACCACAGCATGGCCTCACAAGCGGTGCATCGGTGCACGCCTGGGATCCGAACCCGAGCCGCCAGCAGCGGAGCGTGAGCACTTAACCGCTACGCCACAGGGCCGGCCCAGTTATCAACATTTTACTGCTTTCTCATCTGTCTCATTTTTTTTACTAGAATATTTTTTAAAGCAATTTTAGTTGTGTTGTTTCAGCCATTAAACCATTATCATATCCAACAAAATGGACTAATTCTTTAGTATCATCCAACCCAATCCATGTTCACTTTTCTCACTTTGCCTCAGAAATGACTTGTGAGTTGGGATTAGAACACCGGTGCACAGTACGTTGGTTGTTCTAAGTTTCTTAGCCTGGGGCACTTCCTCCTGTGCCCCGCCCCTGGGTTTCCCATGCGTTTAGTTGGAGGACCTGCATCGTTTGTCCTGTAGAGTTCCCCTTTTGGATTCGGCTGATTGTATCCTCATGGTGTTGCTCAACACATTCTTTTATATCCATATTTTTTGTAAACTGGTAGTTAGATCAGGAGGCTTGATTGGCTTCGGGTTCAGTTTTTCTTTTGGCAAGAACACTTCATAGATGGTGCTTTGTTCTCCAGGCTCCTGAAAGCATGCGGCAGCCGGCTGACTGAGAAGCTCCTGGAAGGCGCACCCACCGAGGACACCTTGGTCCAGATGGAAAAGCTTGCGGGTGAGCTGGGAGGTGTTTGTACTGCAAGCCTTTGCCTGCGGTGACCGTCGGGCCATCTGACAGCCACCAACCCTCCTCCATTCCAGCAGAAAGAGCTAACGAAGGGGGTCCCAGGATGATTAACCCCAGGAGGAGCATCTGCGAAAGCTTGCCCTTTATTCTTGGTGTTTGTATTGTGACTTCCTCTCTCATTTCCTTCAGAGTCACGTGAAAGAGTCTGTTACCCCGGGCAGGTTGGGAAAACCCACTCTTAGAGCTGTCAGTCGGAGAGGATTGATTGAAGGTTTTCTTGTCCATGTTTTATGATAACCACATGCTCGGCCTTTCTAGACAGTCTCATTCTTTGCTCTTTAGCAATAAGATGTTACGCTTCGCTTGGACCCCAGGTTTCCATCAAGGGCGGTGGTTCCCAGACCTCGCTGCTAGCTGGGCAGCCCTGCTCAGGTTCATGATCACATTTCCACCTCTGGGGCTCAGGGTCCTGTGTGTTTGAAGTAACTTCCCAGGGGATTCTGGTGCGGCATACACTGGCCTGGGAACCTCTCGTCTCAGTCCTGGCTGTGCTTTTCCTTCAGAGATGATTTGATTTCTGGTGATCTAGGTCCATGATCTCAGCTGTGGAGTTGGGTAAACCAGACTTGTGATGCGTGTTGTTTGTAGTTTGTTACTAATAACGCTTGATGCGCTTCGGTGTGCAAATGATTGACCTTCTTAGTAAGTTGGAGCCGTGTCGAGGTTACTCTTGTAGTCAAGTGACTTGCACACATTGCATTCAAATGTGCTTTTCCTGAGTAGAGAAAAAGGGAGTAGAGTTTCCACGAGAGCAGAACATGCTCAGAAAAGACAAATCCTTGCAACCCACCTTCACGTCCTCACGGATCAGTTGGCCCTAGAGCCGTTTATTGTGGTAGTGATTACAAATCTCTAAGCTAGTGAAGTTGGCAAGGGTCATCTGTTGGTGAGATTTATTTGCACAAAGTGCCCTGTATATCAGGATCAGCCAAGAAATCTTGTCACTTTTAGGAGAGAGAGAGATGCAGGCATGCAGGGTTTGCTCTTGTGTCTTGGGTTGTATTTCGTCACAGAGAAGGTGAGCGTAGGGGTTTGGGGTCGGACAGGCCTGGCTTCAGATCCTGGCTTTGCTGCTCTCGTGTGTTCTCTGTGCACAGGCAAGGCCCATTCCCCCGAGTCTCACTTGTGTCATGGAGTGAAGATGCCATCATTGGTGAGGGTTGTCACGAAGATTAATTGAACTAACAAATATTTCTTTGTAAAATGGGGAGAATACTACTGCCCTCAGGACAATTGAAAGGATTAAATGAAATAAGGTGTGGAGGCACTTAGAAGAGTGCCTGACTGAGGACATGCTCGGTAAATACAAGCTGTCATCACTCTGATCTTGGTTTGAATTTTCCCGCCGACAGTAGACAGCTCGCTGTCTCGCAGGTGCCTGCCTTACAGTGCAGGGTGAGGCTCTGGGCTGAGGACACAGCAGACTGAACCTCCCCACCCCCGCACCCCCAAGGGCTCTGAGGGCAACAGGTGGTATAAACAGCTGTCCAAAACCGGAAACCAGTAACCCTCTGGTTGGTTTAACCAGAGATGCCTTAGGCTATAGTGGTCACATAGTGAGTCTGTTGCATCTGGGGGAACGAAGGAATCCAGGGGCAGCATGTTTTGTAACTGTCTTTGTCATCCATCTTGCAGACTTAGAAGAGGAATCAGAAAGTTGGGACAACTCTGAGGCTGAAGAAGAAAAAGCCCCTGCCTTGCCAGAGGGTGCAGAAGGGCGGGAGCTGACCAAATGCCCAACAGATTCTTCTTTGCTTTCAGACTGTGGAAACTGGCAGCCCCGAAAGCTGTCTGTCTTTAAGTCCCTGCGGCACATGAGGCAGGTAGGCAGTGGAGGGTGGAGCCCTGGGCAGAAACGCAGGAGAAGAGCCCAGTCCTCTCCTTCCAGCTCATCTCCAGCACACCTTGTCCTGGGGCCTGTTATGTTCAAGACCCAGTGGGGCCTGGGTGGTTAGGAGTAACCAAGAACCTTCTTGGTGGGTAGCTGAAGACAACGTTGGGCATCTGGGGTGTCTGAGCCAAAGGATCAATACTCTCCTTTTAGTGACGATGTAGGCGTTTTCTTTAAAGAAAGGCCTGGATGGTTGGCTTCTCATGGTCCTCTAATCTTATCATTCTAGAACCTTGTAAAGGAATTGAACAGCACTATTGGTTTGCATGCAGCCTAAATTTGCAAATTGAAAATTAGTCATTCTTACAAAAAATTGGAAACACTCTGTGTCCAACCATAGTAATTACATCCAAACAATGGAATATCGTTATGTACGAGAAAACAAGCTTGTAGTATATTGTATAGGGTGGTGCCCTGTATTTATATATTCATATCAAAGACAAGACAAAATTATCACAACAAAATTTGGTCAGACAGGAGGAAGGGTTCACTAGATTATGAGGACAGATTGTCCTTTTCTATAATATTTTTCAGTATTTATTTTTACAACGTGAATTTTATCGGCAGATAGTTATTTCTATTTTGGAAAATGGAGTAAAAACTGATTTAACAGCAGATGCGGGGGCTTCTGGATGAAAAACATTCATCCATCAAAATCATGTATTTGGCTGAAATCATCCTCATTGATTGCTTAACGTGGATTAAAGTTGGAAAGAATCTTGAATTCCACTGGAGGTGGGAGTACTTTGAGGCTATTGGGGTTTGGTAGCCTCCTTTGTTTTTTATTTTTTGGCCATGTTTGTGTGCCATAAGACAGCAGACTGAACTCTTCTGAAATGTCAGTGTCGTGGAAGTGAATAGAAGGGGCTGGAGAGGGGCCGTTCCAGATGAAAGCAGAATACAGACAGGACAGTGGAGCAGTCATGATCCTTGAGTGACTCCTGGATTGAACGAGCGATCACTGTAAAGGACACTGTCGGAGGTTTGGGGCTCTGGATATTGGGTTTATTACATCAGGGCGGCATTTCTGAATGTGGTATGTTTTGAGGTTGTGTAGGAGAAGCCCTTGTTTTTCGTGGGTGTTAAAGAGTCATGAAGCCTGCCAGTTACTTTCAAATGGTTCAGCAAAATAAAGTGTGTATGGAGAGAGAAGGTAAATGTTGCAGAAAGCTAATGCTTCTTGTGCTTTGAGTTTCTGAAAATAAAACGGGGAAAAAGATCTTAAAGTGTGCAAGACCTTTGGGGTCAGGCTCTTAGGTGCAAATCCAGGGACTTACCTGTTTCCTTCTGACCTCTGGCAAGTCACCCAGCCTCCCCAAGAGGATGAGTGACTTTCTGCTGACCCATCTTCCTTCACTATACAGAGAAAGTTTCTTGATGAGCACACAAATGAATTGCATTGAATGGAGAGGAAATTCAGGGCGGAAAGCATGGAACTATATTTTTCAGGTGCTGGGTGCCCCGTCTTTTCGCATGTTGGCCTGGCATGTGCTCATGGGGAACCAGGTGATCTGGAAAAGTAGGGATGCAGCCCTGGTCCAGTCAGCCTTTGAAGTTCTTCGGGTAAGAGCTCTTGTTTCTTGTGTGTTTTGTAGCAGGATGGTATTTGCCTAGTAGTTTTTTAAAAATCCTGACTTTAGGTGTGAATGTAGGATGCATTGATGGCTCATTGCCAAGGTTCATGCCTGAATCTAAGATCTGTGTTTTTTCTCCACTGTTAAAAATAGCAGTGATGGTTTTTATTTCTGGTGGAAGGTGTCTGTATCCTGATAGATTGATAACTAACTACTCTCTGCCCTTCCCCAATCTGAATCCCTCTAAGAAGCCCTGAGAGTGGTTCGCAGCCTCTGTGGCAGCAGCTCTTGGTCACCGTGCATTCCTCCACACAGTGGTCTCAATGAGTCGGCTGGGGTGGGTGTAGCGTGCTGTCTCTGTCCCAGAGGTTTAGTGGTGCCAAGGCCTGGGTCTGGCTCTGATGTGTTTAAGTCAGTGTGCGTACCTGCCATCTGCCTAGGCCTCTGAGGGCACAGAATGAATATGACAGTCTCTCAAAAAACTTATGATCTCTGTGTGGGATGAGGGAAGAGACAAACATCTGAGAAGTCAAAGAATAATGTAAGAGTTAACACTGCAGAGCAAGAGGCAGCCTGAGTCCTGTCTGACTGAGTGCCAGGATGAGAGCTGGGGCTGAGTCAGCAGGGACACCGGAGAGCAGGCAGGCTCTGAACTGAGCTACAGAGGGCATGTGGGGTGTGGATGGTGGAGACGGGCAGAGCAGGGGTGTTCCAGCTGCTGTCAGTCCTGAGTCGCTCTGTCCTCTCTAGACTATGCTGCCCGTGGGCTGTGTCCGCATCATCCCTTACAGTAGCCAGTATGAGGAGGCCTACCGGTGCAACTTCCTGGGGCTCAGCCCACACGTGCAGATCCCTTCCCACGTGCTGTCTTCAGGTGCGTGCCTTTCCCGTCCGACCTGAGTCCCCACACCTCGGCTCAGGAGTGGAACTGGAGCTTAGATTTGAGGACGCTGCCTGCTGGGCTCGAGGCAGGAGGCATTGGGCCTCTGTTTTCTGTTTTTAAAACGGGTGAGGGTTGGACTAGACAACCTCATGGTAAGGGTGGCTTGCTGAGGCATGGGGAACAGGTCACAGTCCTGGGGGTGGGAACAACACAGATGGACATCAGAGGATCGCAGTGCCTCCTGTGAGTGAGTCAGTGTTGCCGTGGAGATTCAGGAGGCTTGCTGGACTGGGATAGCGTGCCTCCACAGTCCGCAAGTCTTCTGGTGTTCCTTTCCTCTCACACTGCTCTCCGTTCATACTCCCTTGTCTTCACCAACTTTTTTCTTCCTTTTCTATGCCTTTAATCCATCCTTACATTCATTAGTACAATGGGGCTTTCTCAGCCCTGCTCTGCCCTCAGCGCTGACAAGCTTATTCCTCTAGGCAGAGAACCAGGACGCTAATCAGCATCCTCATCTTCTGGTCTGGGGAGTTCAGGAGTCAGCCTGGGTGCAAATTCTGGCCTCCGCAGGCAAGTCAGTAACTTGTCTGAGCACATCCATGAGAGGCAGTCGCTGCTCTCAGAGGCAGAGAGAAGGTTGGTCGGCAGAGCGTTTGGCACCAGCAGCCCTGAGCTGCCTGCCTTCAGCACCCAGGCTGGGTCCTGAGTCCCTAAGAGGCAGCACCTTGGTTCTGGGTAGTGTTTGGAACATAGGCTCTGGTTTCAGAGATGGGCTTGAAATTCTTACCACAGCTAGCTGTGTGACCTTGGGCAAGTCATTTAGCTTCTCTGGGTCTGATTCCTTATCTATAAAATGGGGGTAATAGTGGGATGATTCCCATAGGGCTGTTTAGTATCAAGTGAACTGAGGGATATAAAGTAATCAGTAGTTGTTGTACTAGAATACATTGTTAATTTAACTGAGGGAAAAGTTAATCCTTAACTGTCTTCACAAATAAACTACAAAAGGTTGTAAATGCCAAAGCATTGATCTCAGGAGACGGGAGTTTTTCCCCAGTTGGTCTGAGATAATTTGGAGTGGCAGAATGAGATGGGCTTGTTAAGGGGGTGAAGAGTGTGTTTTGTGTTGCCACAGAATTTGCTGTCGTAGTGGAGGTCCATACAGCCACTCGCTCCGCCCTCCACCCAGTCGGCTGTGAGGATGACCAGTCTCTCAGCAAGTATGAGTTTGTGGTGACCAGTGGAAGTCCTGTAGCCGCAGACCGAGGTGGGTGCTGCGGAGTGAGGCTGCCTTTCACTAGAACAGGGAAGTGGGAAGAAGGGTGCCCCTCGCTCCCCCTGTGCTGACCCCCTTCATCCTGCCTTGGCCCTGCCCTTGTTCCCAGTTGGCCCCACTATCCTGAATAAGGTGGAAGCTGCTTTGACCAACCAGAACCTCTCTGTGGATGTGGTCGACCAGTGCCTCGTCTGCCTCAAGGAGGAGTGGATGAAGTAAGCGCTCACTGCCCTGGCTCCCAGGGCCTTTCTGTCTGGGGAGGCTGGGCTGCCAGCAGCAGTGTGTTCTGCTGAGAAAACCGGAGGCTGTCTCCAGAGGGAGGCGAGGCCATGGCCACTGGGAGAGGTGGTGTAGAGTAGAAGTTAAGAGCGTGAGTTCAGGTACCACCTCTGCCACGTACTATGTTAACTGAGTGGCCTTGAGCAAGTGGCCCAGCACCCCAAGCCTCAGGCTGCTCCTCTGTGAAATGGGGGTGACGCCTACCTCCGAGGGAAGCAGTTATGTTTGTTGCTTAATTAACTTTAAAATATACAAGTCAGATAACAGATATTCCCTTTTTAGTAAAGCAAGTTACTTTATTTCCTCCTGCCATCTTAGTAATTTTTTGTCAAATATAGCCAGACTTTGTCCTAATTTCAAATAATACAGTGAAGCTTAGGAGCAACCAATTTCTGTCATGAATTAGGGAAATCTTTTCTTTTTTTTCCCGTTTTGATGCACCAGCCATATTACCCGGAGTTAGAACTGATGGGCAAATGAGAGATTGTGAAGTGTGTAGGTGTGAGCTACCACTTGGCTCTGCTCTCTCTTCTGAGTGTTTGAATTCCAGCTCTGCTTACAGAGCTGTTGCTGGTCTTGAAGCCATTTGGGCCCCAGGACCAGAATTCTGGTGATTGTGCTGTGGTATCTCAGTGTTTTGTTTTTGTTGTTTTACAGCAAAGTGAAGGTCCTTTTTAAATTCACCAAGGTGGACAGTCGACCCAAAGAGGACACCCAGAAGCTCTTGAGTATCCTCGGAGCATCAGAGGAGGACAATGTCAAGCTGCTCAAGTTCTGGATGACGGGCCTGAGCAAGACCTACAAGTCACACCTCATGTCCACAGTTCGCAGCCCCACAGCCTCAGAGCCTCGTAATTGACCCCACCGTGGGAGTCCGGGTCTGTGTGCACCTTCCGGGAAGTGGTGACAGCTGTCTTCGCCACTGAGCTCAGAGACAGGTCTCTGCTGGGAGTCACAGGCAGTCCTCCCGTTTCTGAAGTGCTGGTGTGCAGCTGGTTCCTAGGAAGAAATGGAAACTCTCGGGGCTAAACTTGACCCTCTGTGTGGGATTTGGGCCTGGTGTTCTTGGCACCATCCCACAAGCTGTTTGAATTGTTGCAGCCCTGAAGAAGGCACTGGGAGACTTGTGGCAGTGGGTCCCTGGCATTTGTGCACCCCTACAAGAGAAGACTAAGGAAAGTTGCATCTCATGTCTCTCATGGACTTAGATCTCAAAATTTATAGGGAAAACATGTCAGACCAGTCCCAACTTGGGTACTTTAGCCACAATATCATATCCTCTCTCAAGGTTAATGTTCAAACTTTCTATTCTAAAATTAAGCAAGTTTTCTGGGTTTTGTATGTGTGCGTGTATATTTTGCTACAGTTGTGAATTTTCAGGACTTGTGGTGATCTTTAGTCATTTTTAGTAATCTGGTTTTGAGTTAGGGCTCTGGGAAAGGCTTTTGGGGGTGGAGTGGATGTTTTCCTCCTCTGGATTTTCTGGCATTCGTGTTGTAACGTTATGTGACTGCTGAATCTTCCGGCCACACTCTCCTGCAGCTGCTTTGGAATTACCCTGTAGCGTGAGGACAAGCACCTGAGCTGCTTACACGAGGAGGGTGCTTTGCTGGAGTGTCAGATGGAGCTGTCTCACTTGCCTGACTTGCTGTCTGTGGAGCTGAGTTTATTCCCTATCACTCTGTCCTTTATTGCTTCTGTAAACATTTATGTTCAGCTACAGTTAATCTTCAGAATGTGCAGATATAAGACAGTTTCATCATCCCAGTGTACATTTTTAATAAGGGTTCATGGTTTGGATGGATTTTTCCAGCAGTTTTGCTTATTTGTGTAGTTTCCTATGTTTGTTTAATTTATATTTATCCTAAAGACTAAGTTTATATGACTAGGTATCTGTATCATGCAAGAACATTGAAACACAATAAAGATGTATTTTTGTAAACTGTTGACTACATGGTTTTATTGGTTTGATAAGTAAAATTTTCTTGGGATCAGTCACAGAAAATACTATGTTAAAATAACACTGGGATGATATAACTGTTTTTGAACTCTGCAGTCTATTATAGGCTTACAACTTCCAGGGGAAGACTCGGATGGTAAAGTCTGGCTACTTTGGGTCAGTTTCAGCTCTTAGCACAGTGGCAGCTGCCTGTTCCCCACCCCCAGCTTCCTGGCAGGCAGTTGTGCCTATTCCTGGAGCGGCTCGCACACAGCATGTGGGAGCTGAGGTGGGTAAGAGGCTTCTGTCTTCCAGCTATTGGGGATCTGTGCTCTGATCACTGATTGCTGTTTCTGGTCACAAAGGTGCAGACAAAGAGGTTGGCAGCCATTGTTGCACACCCCTCTTGTTGCCAGCTCCTCCCTCTCTGGCTCAAGTGACTGCCAGGAAATTGAATGGGCTGGCGCTTCACCCTGCCTTCATTTTTTGCTCTTCCGCTTTCAGGAAGCAGACATTAAAGACTAGGACATTCAAAAACAACTTCATTTACGGGGAAAATTAGAAAGTGTACATGCCCAAAGAAAAGCTCGGAAAAGACCTGAGAAAACTTAGGTTTACACCTCAGGCTGCTCTTTGGCAAGGAGACAACCTACAGCAATAAAATAAATAAATAAAAACAGCAAACCCTGGAGAAAGGGAGGTATCTGATTTCAAGAGTTATCGCATTATTAGATTTAAATGCCCAGTGTTCAACAAAAGAATCATGAGGCATACTAAGAAACAGGGAAGTATGGCCCATTTGAAGGAAAAAAAGGATTCAACAGATTCTGTCCCTGAAAAAGACCATGGCAGATCTATTAGACAATGACTTGAAGACAACTATCTTAAAGATGATCGAAGACGTAAAGAAGGATGTGGAGAAAGTCAAGAAAATGATGTGTGAATGAAATGGAAATATCAACGAAGAGACAGAAAACTTAGAAAGAAACAAAAATAATTCTGGATCTGAAAACTACAATAACTGAAATGAAAAATTCGCTAGAGGGAGGCAGAGGCAGATTTGAGCAGGCAGAAGGATTAGTGAACATGAAGATAAGATGATAGAAATTATGGAGGCTAAGGAATAGAAAAAAGGTTGAAGAAAAGTGAACAGAGCCTGAGAGATCTATGAGAGTCTATCAAAAGGACCAACATACGGATCATGGGAGTCCCAGAAGGAGAAGAGGGAGAGAGGGGTAGAGAATATTTGAATAAATAATGGCTGAAAACTTCCCAAATTTGATGAAAGATATGAATATAAACATACCAGAAGCTCAACAAACTGCAAGTAAGGTGATCTCAACAAGACCCACACCAAGACGCGTTATAATAAAACTTGAAAAAGACAAAAAGCAAATCTTGAAAGCAGCAAGAAAGAAGCAAATCATCACATACAAGGGATCCTCAATAAGATTATCTGCAGATTTTACATCAGAAATTTTGGAGTCCAGAAGACAGTGGGCTGATATATTCAAAGTGCTAAAGCAATAAAACTGTCAACCAAGAATCCTACATCCAGCAAAACTGTCCTTGAAAACTGAGGAAGAGAGGTGACATCAGCATCATGGTGGAGTGAGCTTCCCCCATTGAACCCTCCCGCTCTAAGATACAACAAAAAGGACATTCATATTCCAACAAAAGCTATTCACACAACACAGGGGACATCTGAGGCACCCAGGCAGCCATACACCTGAGAACTGAGGTGCTGGAATCCCCAGAGTAAATGGAAGGAGGTAAGAGGAGCTCCTTTCCTTCCCCAAGGACTGCGACCCAGAGGCTGAGACCGCGCGGCTCTCAGAGGAGGGGGAGGGGCGGCTTGCTGCGTGAAAAACGGCGCTCTCCAAGATCCCTCACAGCCCGAGGGGATGCCCCTACGGAGGGAGTGGAACTGTAGTGAGGGTAGTTTCAACAAGCTAGCCCCTCAGGAGAGCAGAGAGCAACAGCGAGGTGAGAAACCTCTGAGGTCGGGAGGCGAAAGTAAGCGCCCCTCCCCCACCTGGCCCACCTGACTGGCACTTCAGCACAGCGGTGCTTCAGCTCAGCCCCGTCCCCAGAAGCAGGGTCCCCCAGGTGCCTGGGCCCCACCCCCACAGGCAGTGGCCCCCAGGTGCCCAGGCCAAACCAGCAGCGAGGCAAGCCTGCACAGCTGCACCAGAGGCAGCGGCAGCTCAGGCCCCACCATGCCACAGCCCCCGCTGCTCCAGCTGGACCAAGCCATGGCCCCAGCTTCCCCAGCTCCACCGTCCCCCCTCCCCCTGGGTCCAGCTGCTTTGGCTTGGCCTGTGCTCAGGCACCAGCTGACTTGGCACCAGCAACTTTGGCCCACTGCACTCCAGTTCCAGCTTCTTTGACCCAGCGGTGCTCCAGCTCCTCCTTCTTCAGCCCAGCACACCCCAGTTCCAGCTTCTTTGGCCCAGCGGTGCTCCAGCTCCTCCTTCTTCAGCCCAGCGCACTCCAGTTCCAGCTTCTTTGGCCCAGCGCACCCCAGTTCCAGCTTCTTTGACCCAGCAGTGCTCCAGCTCCTCCTTCTTCAGCCCAGCACACCCCAGTTCCAGCTTCTTTG